GGCAGTTATTAGGCAGTTCTTTAGCAGTTTCAGAAATTTTGAACAGTTTTCAAATAGTACCAAACAGTTTGGTTTTTATTGCTCTTAAGTAACTGCTAGGGCGCTGGGAGTAAACAGTTTTCCTAAGCAGTTTTAAAGCAGTTACAAGTTTCCCTAGCAGTGCTGCATATGCTTGAGGACAACACAGATTTCCTAAGCAGTTTTGTTAGCAGTGCAAAGCGGTTTCCTTGTATAATTTGATTGGGTTCAAGAGAAATTTTAATGTTGGGCTCAATGTTCCAACAAATATAATCAACAGGAACCTAGCTTACAACTGCCCGCCAATTTTTTTGAATTCTGACTGACTGTCATGTGTATTGTTGGACAAAAGGCTATTAGCCAATATAGAGGGAGCCTACTGGCTACAAAGCTTGAGATCTATTGAAATAATGATGTAGACATTTAAACAAGTGGTAAGTACAATATATATGTGGCCTTGAATGAATAATGATCGATATATTGTAACGGTCCAGTGATTTGACAGATAAGTTTTATACAGAGTTATGGAACCTGATTATTGTTGACAATTTACAGTAGGAGAGTTGAGATGAATTTTGTATGTGTTCAAGTTACTTGACAATGCAAGGATATGTATTAATTTATGCTTTGCAGTTGTAGTTGTCGATAGGTGATTATTGACAAGTTTAAGTGATTCACATGAGTTGAAATAGTTGTGCACATACTTTGCTTTGAGTTACGTAGAAATCAGCTGATTTAGTGATTATATAGCAGTAAAGTTGTGTTATTATTTGAGCTTACTTCATGTGTCAGGGACTTTAATTGGTTTTCCGTAGTAGATTAACCATATATTTGTGGACGGAATTCTGTTTTCTTGCAGTTTAAGCTGTTTTTAGCAAACTATTGAAGGTTTATTGCCTTGTTTTAAACTGGTGGCATGTTTGCGAACTTGGCGGTCGTAAATTGTGTAGATTGAGCCCGATCGTAAAATGTTACGATATTTTTCGTATTTTTGGAGTTAATTGTGTAAAAGAGAGATATTTTAGGAATTTTTGCTTTCTGCTAGGTTGATTTGATTAGAGAAGTTGTGTTTTAGGGGTAAGGAATTAGTATGGGTTGGGCGTTTTGATTTAGATTAAATCATTACTTTTTAGCTCACCTGAGCCGAAGGCTCAAGTGAGCTATTCTGATCAAAATTTGTCCGTCGTCTGTCGTCGTCGTCGTTGTCGTAAACTTTTCACATTTTCATCTTCTTCTCAAGAACCACTGGGCCGATTTCAACCAAACTTGGTACAAAGTATCCTTGGGTGAAGGGAATTCAAGTTTGTTCAAATGAAGGGCCAGGCCCTTTTCCAAGGGGAGATAATTATGAATTAGAGAAAAATTAATGGCATTTTTATCACTGGGCCACTGGGCCAGGAAAAATGAAACTCATATGGAATCATCCTCAGGTAGTGTAGATTCAAGTTTGTTCAAATCATGACCCCCGGGGGTAGGGTGGAGCCAAAATGGCCGATCAAAGTTTTACATAGGAATATATAGAAAAAATCTTTAAAAATCTTCTTCTCAATAACCACTGGGCCAGGAAAGATGAAACTCATTTGGGATCATCTTCAGGTAGTGTAGATTCAAGTTTGTTCAAATCATGACCCCCGGGGGTAGGGTGGGGCCAAAATGGCCGATCAAAGTTTTACATAGGAATATATAGAAAAAATCTTAAAAAATCTTCTTCTCAAGAACCACTGGGCCAGGAAAGATGAAACTCATGTGGGATCATCCTCAGGTAGTGTAGATTCAAGTTTGTTCAAATCATGACCCCCGGGGGTAGGGTGGGGCCAAAATGGCCGATCAAAGTTTTATGTAGGAATACATAGGAAAAAATCTGTAAAAATCTTCTTCTCAATAACCACTGGGCCAGGAAAGATGAAACTCATTTGGGATCATCTTCAGGTAGTGTAGATTCAAGTTTGTTCAAATCATGACCCCCGGGGGTAGGGTGGGGCCAAAATGGCCGATCAAAGTTTTACATAGGAATATATAGGAAAAATCTTTAAAAATCTTCTCAATAACCACTGGGCCAGGAAAGATGAAACTCATTTGGGATCATCTTCAGGTAGTGTAGATTCAAGTTTGTTCAAATCATGACCCCCGGGGGGAGGGTGGGGCCAAAATGGCCGATCAAAGTTTTACATAGGAATATATAGAAAAAATCTTAAAAAATCTTCTTCTCAAGAACCACTGGGCCAGGAAAGATGAAACTCATGTGGGATTATCTTCAGGTAGTGTAGATTCAAGTTTGTTCAAATCATGACCCCTGGGGGTAGGGGGGGACCAAAATGGCCGATCAAAGTTTTACATAGGAATATATAGGAAAAATCTTTAAAAATCTTCTTCTCAAGAACCACTGGGCAATGAAAGATGAAACTCATGTGGGATTATCTTCAGGTAGTGTAGATTCAAGTTTGTTCAAATCATGACCCCTGGGGGTAGGGTGGGGCCAAAATGGCCGATCAAAGTTTTACATAGGAATATATAGGAAAAATCTTTAAAAATCTTCTTCTCAAGAACCACTGGGCCAGGAAAGATGAAACTCATGTGGGATTATCTTCAGGTAGTGTAGATTCAAGTTTGTTCAAATCATGACCCCTGGGGGTAGGGTGGGGCCAAAATGGCCGATCAAAGTTTTACATAGGAATATATAGGAAAAATCTTTAAAAATCTTCTTCTCAAGAACCACTGGGCCAGGAAAGATGAAACTCATTTGGGATTATCTTCAGGTAGTGTAGATTCAAGTTTGTTCAAATCATGACCCCCGGGGGTAGGGTGGGGCCAAAATGGCCGATCAAAGTTTTACTTAGGAATATATTAGAAAAATCTTTAAAAATCTTCTTCTCAAGAACCACTGGGCCAGGAAAGATGAAACTCATGTGGGATCATCCTCAGGTAGTGTAGATTCAAGTTTATTCAAATCATGACCCCCGGGGGTAGGGTGGGGCCAAAATGGCCGATCAAAGTTTTACATAGGAATATATAGGAAAAATCTTTAAAAATCTTCTTCTCAAGAACCACTGGGCCAGGAAAGATGAAACTCATTTGGGATTATCTTCAGGTAGTGTAGATTCAAGTTTGTTCAAATCATGACCCCTGGGGGTAGGGTGGGGCCAAAATGGCCGATCAAAGTTTTACATAGGAATATATAGGAAAAATCTTTAAAAATCTTCTTCTCAAGAACCACTGGGCCAGGAAAGATGAAACTCATTTGGGATTATCTTCAGGTAGTGTAGATTCAAGTTTGTTCAAATCATGACCCCCGGGGGTAGGGTGGGGCAAAAATGGCCGATCAAAGTTTTACTTAGGAATATATTAGAAAAATCTTTTAAAATCTTCTTCTCAAGAACCACTGGGCCAGGAAAGATGAAACTCATTTTGGATTATCTTCAGGTAGTGTAGATTCAAGTTTGTTCAAATCATGACCCCCGGGGGTAGGGTGGGGCCAAAATGGCCGATCAAAGTTTTACATAGGAATATATAGGAAAAATCTTTAAAAATCTTCTTCTCAAGAACCACTGGGCCAGGAAAGATGAAACTCATTTGGGATTATCTTCAGGTAGTGTAGATTCAAGTTTGTTCAAATCATGACCCCGAGGGTAGGGTGGGGCCAAAATGGCCGATCAAAGTTTTACTTAGGAATATATTAGAAAAATCTTTTAAAATCTTCTTCTCAAGAACCACTGGGCCAGGAAAGATGAAACTCATGTGGGATCATCCTCAGGTAGTGTAGATTCAAGTTTGTTCAAATCATGACCCCCGGGGGTAGGGTGGGGCCAAAATGGCCGATCAAAGTTTTACATAGGAATATATAGGAAAAATCTTTAAAAATCTTCTTCTCAAGAACCACTGGGCCAGGAAAGATGAAACTCATTTGGGATTATCTTCAGGTAGTGTAGATTCAAGTTTGTACAAATCATGACCCCCGGGGGTAGGGTGGAGCCAAAATGGCGGATCAAAGTTTTACATAGGAACATATAGGGAAACCTTTTAAAATCTTCTTTTCAAGTACTTCAAAGACAGGCTTCGTTATATTTATAGGGAATCATCCTCAGGTAGTGTAGATTCAAGTTTGTTCAAATCATGACCCCCTGGGGGGGGGGTGTAAAATTCAAGTGCCCCCCCCCCAGTTTACTTTCAGTTCTGATCTGATCTGTGTTTTTTCCGAGCCAATTGCTCAGGTGAGCGATGTGGCCCCTGGGCCTCTTGTTTAGTTTTATTTAAGAAGAGCCAGGGTTATTTTAAGGATTTTTGAGGAACTGTTGGAATATTTGTGGAATTTTGCAGGAATTAAGTTTTGATCAGATTTTAGTCATTTTGGCTGAGAAATTCGACTTGGTTAAAATTTACTGGTTGTTTGAATTTGTGATAAATTGCTGATTAATTTTAGAATTACTTGAAATTGTTTTGGTAAATTATACATTCTAAGGATATTTGCTAATGTATTTCTAAATTTTGCTAGTGTTTTTAACTGGAATTCAGACTTGGGAAAATTTGATAAATAATTAACTTACAATTTTGTTGTTAACTGTATTTCATGGATTATTATTGTTTTATGCCAAGTTGGAAATATTTTAGACATTAATTTTGACAGGGTTTCAATTTGAAATTGTACGTTTGTGTACCAGTTTCAGCATCATCATATTGCTTTGAATATTCATTAGCCACAACCATAAATGGAAATGGATTAACAGTTCTGAAGTAGTTATTTGCAGGTTCAAGCAGTATTTTTAAACTCATTTAAATATTTCGCTGAAAATAACTGCTTCACAACTGGTTGAGAACTGGGAAGGCTAAGAAAAACTACCTTGAAGTGCCTATTTCTATGAATATTAAATCAACTTGTTTGAGGGACAAGGAAGGCTAAGGGAACTGCTAATAAACTGCTTAAAAAATAAAACTGGGAAGGCTAAATAACTTCCAACAAACTGCCTTCCACTTTGACATGGGTTATATTATGGAATCTTAATTAATAGATGTATTGTACATGAACAAATATATCACATGCATGTATATATACCAGAGAAGTATAATTATGTATATAAATATTTATCGGCGCTAACACAATTACAATAATTGTTAAAGGCGCAACATACTGGTATAAGAATCAGCAATTATTCATAAAATTTTAAACAATACACTGTTTCTAGATTTTGAGGCTATACATAAATCATACAATAAGATAATTTACACAATAATACACAATAATTATGTATAAAAATGATTTCTAAATATATGATATTTCTTAATAAATAAGTGTTATTTTCAGTATTTCTGGACATGACTATCAAAGGTATATGAGACAAATTTGATACTTTTCCTTTCAAGAAAAAAATACATCAACTTCCTTTCAAAAGTTATCTTATAATTATTGTATTTTTGGTAGCTGAATTGAAAATAAAAACCATCTTAAATCTCCCCTGTGTTACAAATAATTTATAAAATCTTTCATTAGGGAGTATTAATAGGCAATTCTCTCGATCCCCTTTTCTGTGGCAAGGTTATGTGCACTAAGTCTCAAGCTGTTAATGATTGGTCTCTCTGTTCTTTTTTTCTTTGGGGGGGGGGGGTATATCAGTGTAATCTACAGCATCTGAAATCATCAAAAACAACAGTAACTTGATAAATTTTAGTTTGGTGAATTGTGAACCTTTTCTCTTTTGAATATTGATCTGATATTATTTGTTTAAATGCTTTCTCAGAAATGATTTTTAATGACTTTGATGAAAAATCTTAACTTGCTGAAAATTGAGAAAATCTTTTTAGTTCATCACTCACTTGATGTGAGAATTTCTTGCTGAACATCTGTTCACCTGCTGAGAGTCCAATGTTTTTGCCTACAATTAAAAAAAAAGTATTAAATGTATCCGGATATCTGAATCAACAGTTAAACAAAACAAAATAACATTTAAAAATTTGGTTCCATTGAAAAATCGTCCGGATACTGAAGCATCCGGATATCTGGCGTCCGGATATCTGAAGGTCCACTGTAATGTCTTATATTATAAAATTTGTACTATAAAAAAAAACATTTTAAACCTAAAAACACAGAAAAAATACAATAATATAAATAATTTCTGAACCATTGTGTTTCATTTTCCTCCATAAATTAGACAACTGTTTGTTTCAATGTTATTGATATTTCCACATGCAATATCCCTATTTTTTCACTTTGATTTGTACCCCAGCGGAACACCTTACTTTTCTGGCAACTTCATAATTGTTGTGTCTTTAACAAATAAGGCTAGTTAGTATTATATAACTTGTTGTAATCATATACAAAAAATGCTATTTTTGTGAATAAATAGGAACCAATAAATAGTATTCATAAAACTGACATACAAACGGAAATGATAAATTTCAATCCTCAAATGTTGAACTGTCGATCGCGAGAACAAGCATACGAAATACATCGATCTATAATATCCTTGCGAATGCCCATTTATCAATAAAAACTATGTAATTCAATTTCAATTAAATTGCCAGACATACATAACTTACTTACATGTAAAATCTCACTGCACAGTGACACGACATGACATCAGGCGATCGAGGCAATGTGGGTCTGCAATCTCGCATGTTTGTGACCTTCAAGTTTCTTTTGGTTGATCGGGTGTCCCGGGCATAAAGAAATGGGTGACTTAAAATTGGTTTAATCATCCCTGGGCTTCTACAATGCTTCAATAATGATCACAGCCTGTAGATTTTACGAAACAATCCTGTCGGGGTTTTCTACGGGAAACGACATGTTGACATTCGCTACGGAACTGCGCATTTTATGGCAATTGTCGCAAATCAAAGAAAAAATTACGAACAACTTATATTTTTTAATAGAAATAGATTCAAAAATACATAAACTGATAAATTAATCAATAATTTTTCATTTAGATTGATTAAATATATAATTTGCATTTTACGACTTACAAAATCTATGGAGACCCATTGACGACGTAAAATGCTGACAAGAATCCATCCTTAAAACAACTTTATAAATTTCAGAGAGTTTGAATTGTTTTTAATATTTAAATAAGCAAAAATTAACATACTAAATAAAATATACTCATATGTAGTAGAAAACAAATAGCAATAAGAAATGAATATTTATGTGATTTTCAAAATTTAGCAGAAATTTCTTCAAAGTAATTTTAATTAACGAGATAAAATTAAACATAATAAAAAAAATTCATTGCATAAAATTACAGTTTTCACATTCATGTATAAGTATTAAAGTTAAAAAGAATTTATGAAGAATTTAATAAATTTCAATAGATAAGCATTAAATTAAATAAAATCCGATAATTAAGCATAAATAGCAATGAATTTGAATAAATTAGCATAAAATTATCCTCATTTACATAAATTTACTTTCATATCGAAAATGCATAAAATTAGCTTCATTTGCATAAATTTACATAAAATTAGCTTCATTTGCATAAATTTAGCTTCATTTGCATAAATTTGCATAAAATTAGCTTCATTTGCATATAATTAGTATATAATTTATGCAAATGAAGCTAATTTTATGTAAATGAAGCTAAAATTATGCAAATGAAGCTAAATTTATGCAAATTTATGCAAATGAAGCTAAATTTATGCAAATGAAGCTAATTCTATGTAAATGAAGCTAAATTTATGCAAATGAAGCTAGAGTTATGCAAATGAAGCTAATTTGATGCAAATTTATGCATAAATGAGGCTAATTTTATGCTAAATCTATGCAAATTAAGCTAATTTTATGCAAATGAAGCTAATTTTATGTAAATGAGGCTAATTTTATCCAAATGAAGCTAATTTTATGTAAATTTAAATAAAAAACCTTGTATATTACGCATATCGTATAAATTCAGTTAATTTATGCAAATGAAGTTGATTTTATGCATTTTTGATTTTTTTGGGCAAAAATTTTATGCAAATGGGGTTAATTTCATGCAAATGAAGCTAATTCTATGTAAATGGATGCAAATAACGATTAACGTTATTAAATTTATTCCAAAGAAGCTAATTTTAAACAAAATTGTGCTATTCTTTGAAAATTTATAGAATTCTAAGCAAATTTATGCTTTTTTATTTAAATTAAGTTCATTCAATTATATTTTAAGATTAGCTAATTTTTGTAAATGAAGCTAAATTGATACAATTTCAATCATTCTTACAAAGTATTCAATTATTTTTTTTGCCTTTATATATGTATTTTTTTTTTTAAAACTAGAGTAATTGATGCATTATTTATGGTAATTTATAATAAGAAATGCAAGTTTATTACTACCTATGTAAGTTCAAGGAAATTGGTAATAATTTATGCTTATTAATGTATATAAATGGTATTATGTTAGTTTACTGCAAAATATGCAAATGTTTTGTAACTTTATTGTTATTATGTAAAATTCTATGATAATTTTTCTAAACTTAGTACGTGAAGTTTTGTGCATTAGAATACATTTAATTTAATTACTTAATAGTTTTGCATTTATTTAAATGGGTTTTTATCTGAATTTTATCTGGATTTGTTTTATCTTAAATATGAAAAAATATGTCCCTAAATCCGCTCTTCATTGTATTTTATCATAAAAATACACTGTATATCTGTGTTTCATTCTTTTCCGTGAGTCACATGTTTTTAAATGATTTTATTCAAAGATTCAAATATATTTTCTAAATTTCTAAATATTTTCCACGTACATTAAGAAAATTTTAAACTAGAGGCTTCCAGCAGATAAATTATCAATATTTTCATCATTAAGTAAAAAAAATATATATTAATTAAACTTTTTTTTTCTATTTCAATTTTTAAACTTTTTTATGTTTGTCTAACAGGAATGGAATCACCGACGCTAATAGTAATCAACCATTCCTATTTAGGGAATTGGGATGTGTTGAGTACTTTTGTTCGTGCAAATGTTAAAAAATTATCCTGAAGGACAGTCGAACAGTGGTACTGCTGGCAGCATACATGTATTTGATTTGACTGCAACAGTGTAAAATTTATAAACTCGGGTAGTATCGACAATCCATTGACGGAATTCGAACAACTCGACTTTGCTGATTTATTCATCATTTCGAAAAAATCTTTTAAAAAAGTTTTGGCAAATTATAAATTGTTACTGAGTACATGTATATACCACTAAATCATTTTAAAAAATTAATCCTAATGTGATTACTTTAAAAACATTTGGCATGTATGAAATTATTTATCGAATGCACCGTCCGTGAATGAAAAGTAATACATTTTGATTCACAATATTATTCAACACGGTTCTTGAATGTGGATACGGGGGCGGCGGAGGAAGGCGATACTGAAAAAAAAACACATTCAAATTCAACTTAACTGAAAAACGTTTGATAAGTTTTAAAAATGGCCAAAATCGAAAATATCAATCCTATTTCGTAACTGGTCTGATGCCCGCTGATGGTTGGTGGACTAAGACTAAAATTTCACAACTTTGTAACATTTTATGTAATAAAGATATTTTTCTAAATAATCAATTACAATTTAGCAATAAAATATTAATATGATGCAATAGAAAAATAAGATTTTGCAACTTAGCTATTTGTTGTTGAAGGGGGGGGTGTCAGTCTAAATCGTAAGATTATTTGTGAAAAGGGCCACAGAGTACGTATACATGTATACAAAAAAATTGCTTTCTGATGGTTAAAAAGGTTGGGTTTTTTTATAGTCTGATCATGTTTAGCCAATCGGTCGGGAAAGGGAAACCAAACATTTTTTTGAATGGGCCTACTATCATTCCAAAAACAGCGTGTCACTTTGCTTGATCGACCATAGTAAAATTTCACAAATTGATTATCATATTATTAATCGATTGGATGTTTGATTTGAATGAAACCAGTGCTACTTTGCTTATGAAACAAAGAATCTAACAATACCCCGCTAGCACTGGCCAATCGTATTGAATGATTGTTTTCCAGAGCGGCATTTGTAGTCACCAGCAAAACGTGGTCAGTCAAAGTCTGTTTTATTTTCACCTCAAATCTTAATCTTCAGTTGTTGCTCAATTTCTTTTTAGTTCCTTTTTATTTATTTATTTATTTATTTTGGTATTGTTCTTCTGTTTTAAGTTTATTTCTGTTTTGTTTTTGCTTTAAAAGTGAGTAAATTTAGTAGTCATAAATTTATAGTATTAAAAATATACTTTTAATTAAACAAATTTGCTATATTTTTATCAAAATATAAAATATTTTTATCAAATATATAATTCATAGACTATATTTTTAGAGCATAAGTGCTACTTGGACACTCATTTATATTTATTTTCTGTGTTGTCTTATTTATATGCATGATATATATGTGCTTTCTGTGTCGTTTTGTGTGTATATGTGTCAATATTGCTTGTTGTGATGCATGACAATGTAATTCTAACTGTTTTATATGTGTAGATAGTGTAGTACTAATATAATGTCGGTCAAAAGCTCTACAGAGCTTATGTTTCTGTTTAAAAAATCCGACTCGAAATAAAATTTTCTGATTCTGATTCACCCTCGTTTCACTCCTCCGAAAATATTCCGAAAATATTATCATTTTACTAACAGCGTGACAGTTTGCTTGACGGGACGTGCTAAAATTTTGTGTGCTGATTTCATTTTGCTCATCAATTGGATGTTCGATTTCAATGGAATCAATACTAATTTGCATATGAAACTCAGAATACAACAATATCCTGATAATACTGGCCAATCAGAATGAATGATTGTTTACCAGTGCGGCATTTGTTACTCACCAGCAACACGTGGTCTGTCAAAGCCCGTTTTTGTTGTGATTTGACAGGATGGGGTTTTAAATACGTATAGGAGAATTTAAAGAATAAAATTAGTAAGGCTACCCTGCTAGTGTTGTACCATGTAGCTATAAATATCATCATTATAAATTGTAAAATTTGCTTAAATTGTCCGTCCTCGTGTAATTGTTGTTTACTGCATACTCAAAAGTCATTCAGTACGATTGGTCAATATATTATCAGTGGTATTGTTGGGTTCTGTGTTTCATATGCAAAGTATTATTGATTCCATTGAAATCAAACACCCAATCGATGAGTAAAATGATAATCAGCTCACAAAATTTTAACACGCCCTATCAAGCAAACTGTCAAGCTGTTTGTAAAACGATAATAGTAAATACCATAGATTGTCATTGGTCAGTGCGCTCCTGGGTTTTGTGTTTGATATGCAAATTACCATTCATCTCAATGAACTCGAACAGCCAATCGATGAGTAATATGATAATCAGCTTACAAAATTTTTAGCATGTCCCACAGAGCAAAGTGTCACGCTGTTCTTAAAACGATAATAAATATTTTCTTGACTAATTTATTGAAACAAAGAAAAAGAATATGCTGTAGGATTGTTGCGTTCGTTACAAATCGCATTTTTATTCAAATAATACAATTCAAAAGCATAAATTTTACAAAATGAACAATGCAAGGGCTGGGTGGGCAGGAAAAGCCAAGGACACAAAACAACCTGCGATTCGTTGTAACAAATGTCGCATTAATCGAACATTCCCCGGTAAATGTATCTATAGTGAATGCTAAAGCGCTCGTGCATGAAAAACCAGTTTCCTTAGATACGAAAATTCATGGAGAGTACCGAAGGAAAAACGTAAAGAAATAAATTTCTCTCCTCAAAACAGCACCTCTCATATTTGTTGTGATTTGACCAAATGGAGTTAATTTTGATACGTATGAGAAAATTTAAAGCATGAAATAAGTATTAAATATTAAGCTATTATACTATTTATTATATTATATTCATAGCAATCAGTATCATCATTTTTAGGATTAAAACTTGCTTTTCCTGTCCATATGTGATTATTGTCTACTGCATTCTCGCCAACAATCATTGAATACGATTGGTCAGTACTGTAAGTGTCATTGCTGGGTTTTGTATTTCATATGCAAAGTAGTTTTGCTGTCATTGAAAACAAACGTCCAATCGATGAGTAATATGGTAATCAACATGTGAAACTTTAGCACGCTGGATCAAGCAAAATGACACGCTGTTATTGGAAGGATAGAGATTAACCTGTGAGCTAAGCTCAATTCTGAGAAACAGCTATGAAAAGGGTGAGCTGTTTTTAGTGCTGAACAACACAAATGTGAGTACGGGCATTTACTGGGTGCAACGTAGAGGTTTCTTTAGGCAATCAATAATATTAGCCCCGCCTACTACGATTTAACTGGAAGGCAATTTGTTTAAGCCTTGTTGTAATACTTGGTACTAGTTACCCGTTGTCATTTTGTTTTCATCCAATCAGCATTTAGGAAGGCACTAAGCCTTTGGTCCTGTATCCAAACTCCAATATTTCGAGGAGGGATAGATTTCAACTTCTTAATTTTCCGAAGGAAAAAGATTTCTTAATTTTATGACTACGACTTTTCTAAAGTTTCAAAACACAAATTCTAAAAGCTTTTTTGTAAACTTTAATTCAAACTTTTAATTCATACTATCATTCCAATAATACCGGTAGCACGTCGCTCTGTTAGATCAAGTGTGCTAAAGTTTCACATGTTGATCAGCGTACATCTCATCGATTGGATGTCCGATTCAATGAAATAATGATGATAATATTTTGCATATAAACAGAGAAGCCGACAATGGCTTTGACCACGTATTGTTTATGGCACGCCAAATTCACAAAAATGAGCTAAACATAGTTTCACAGTCGATAAATTAGGTTTATCGGTTGTAAACTATAGTTTACGGACTGTAAAGTATAGTTAACAACGTTAATCTACATTTTACATCTGTAAACCATGATAGTTAACGCGATAATCATGTTTCAGAACCATAAACTATACTTATCACTGAAAACAATCATTTGCGAAAAATCATTGCAAAACATAGATTTGAGAATAATGTCCGCCGGTTTCCTTTGATCTTTACAATAATCGTGGTAGAATATCTGATAAATACAGTTTCACGATTTGTAAACTATGGTTTACAACTCTCAACTATAGTTCACGATTGTAAATTATAGTTTACAGACGTGAATCTATGTTTATCAACAAAATATATTGTAAACAGTACGACATTTAACTCTGGACAGAACATAGTCCCGACTTTTTACTACCATTTCTAAATATGATATCAAAAATATGTTTATATCACTTGAAGTTCTAAAACTCAGAATCCCATGGGAGAATGGTGGGATTTTCAGTCCCATCAACTATCCCACCATTCTCCCATGGGAGAAAAAATGTCAGTTGGGATAACTTTTTCTCCCATGACTGTGTTCAAATGGGATAAATCCCACGGATATTGACAATGAATTATTTTCTCCAATATATTGTTATAGTTGGAATATATTCTATATATTATGATGAGAAATTTGTCATCTTCGTAATGTATGGGATTGGGATATATTCCATGTTTCACGATGTATGGGAGAAATTGCTTTATTGTCAATATCCGTGGTATTTATCCCATTTGAACAAATTGTGGGAGAAAAAATCCTGATGGGAGAAAATATCCCACCTGACATTTTTACTCCCATATATGGGAGAATGGTGGGATAGTTGGGGGGACTGAAAATCCCACCATTCTCCCATGGGATTCTGAGTTTAATTAAACAATAAAATGCTTTCTTTGTTTGTTATTACTGGAATGAACGGAAGCAGCTGTTGCAGAAAAAATACATAACCCGCGTAAGCGGGTTATGTAAATTTTTTCTGCAATAGCTGCGACCGTTCATTCCAGTAATAACAAACAAAGAAAGCATTTTATTGTTTATATTTATATCTGTTTAAGTAATCATTTAAAGTTTGAATAAAAAGGTTAATTATTGTATTAATGATGCAAATGTCTTCATACGTTTCATTGATGGAACAGCCACTGATCAACAAATCTGTACTGGCGACATGCCTAATGTAGTTCATGCAGTGATGAACACAATGGGTTTTTTTAAGAAATAAAGGAGAAATTATTCAGTGGATGTAAATATAACTTCATATCTTTAGAAGTGGAGATGTTTGTGACCTCAACATAAAACCCAGGTATACTGCTAAGAAACCCCACCAAGTTATATAAGAATATTTTTGATATCACAATAAGCAAGAAATGGTAGTAAAAAGTTTGATGCAGAATGTTTATCATTTTGATTAAAACAATTTCTGCACTCTTTCATATAACGTAGATTTAATTCATGTGTTCTCCCCACGGCTTCCGTTTTGGAAAAAGAGTACCAAAGACCCAGATTTTTACATCATTTCCTGGTTGAAAGCAGAGTAATAAATGGGTAGGCTTTAGCTGATTGGCTGAATTCAGGTATGTAAATATTTTCATTTTAAAGTAAAAATATTAATGTTTGAAATAAATGATGGAATGTGAGAATATTACAGAAAATATAGAAATACCAGGGGAGATTGTAGGAGGGGGGATTGATATTTTTGGCAGGGTGTCATTTACTGCCGATCGCAGTAAGTTCTAAATAACTGCAAATTTGACCTATAAACGCCGCGGCACGGTATTTTTTTCCCGTGTTTTTAATAAGTGCTTAGAACGAACTTTCAAATGATATCAGAGATTTGTTTGAACGGGATATAGTAAATTACTGGGAGGGCATAAGGTTTGTATAGAGTTCTATGGGAAATTAATTGGTACTCTTTTCCCTATAGAGGCCTCTGACAGTAAACTAATAGACGAGGTCACGTGACCCCGTATTATCGGCCGCAGCTATTTGTTTGTGATTGTGTTAGAAAGTGCACAGGGGGAAATGAGATGTTATTTTTTTCATTAGTTCAGTAAATTACAGGCACGTAGCATCGTTTTTGAAAGGGGGGCAACCAGAGAAAAATTTTTTTTTACTTATCTAAAAAAGTTGACAAGCAAAAAAAAAAAAAAAAAAAAGAAATTGCCCAAACTCGACAATCTTGTTTCGTGGGGGTGGGGAGTGGGGGGGGGGGTGTAGTGGCTACCTTTTTTCAAGGCCAACTTCCTTTCACTTACAATTTTACACAAACAGCACTACATTTCCTTAATATCTTTATACTAAGGTAAGAAGTGGGGGGGGGGGGGCAACCAACCTTTAAATAGACATTTTCAATAGTAAAAGGTAATGTTGGGGAAAAAAGTGGGAGGGCCAGGCCCCCCTGCCCCCCCCCCCCCCCCCCCCCCGTTGCTACGTGCCTGAATTAATTCTTAATGATAACCATACACTGAATTAGTAATAAAACATATCTTATCTTATCTTATCTATATGGGAGCGTAGCGGGAACGACAACTCTGGATAGAGAATGAATGATAACATGCATAAAATCAAGATTAAAATATTTTAAAAACTTGCTTTAAACTAAGTATTTATTACTGTTATTATGTTTCAATATAATTATCATTTCTCATCAGATAATTGACAATTTATGGCTATACAAAAAGAATTTACAATAGATACTCCCCAGCCTGGGAGTGAATAAGATCTGTGAAGAAATCGTCATGGTTTTCCGGATAATAACAACGTGGTAAAAGTGCAAGGTAAACATATTTGGTAAATAACAAACTTAAAAATTGCCCAACTAGTTAAAATTGTTATGCTACAGCTGTGAATGACACATGGATATTTTTTTTTTTTTACATTTTGCACAATCTAATTAGATTGCAATTTGCACATCGCCTTGCAGCAGTAACCATGGGTATTATCACGTGACAAAGATCCAGGGTGGTTCTTGAGAAGCATACATCTTCAATTTGGAGACAATTCTCTTCATTTATCAGTGACTCATTTACATCGATGAATCCATTTGATGAGGAAATGCACTTCTATTTATTTTGTATTTTTATAAAAACTTTTTATTTTGCTGAAGAGACAGCTTGAAAGAAAAAAATGATCACATGTTAAGGGTTTGAATATGTGGTGCTTTCCTTACATAGTTGCTTTTAAAATTGCAAAAGTACTTTTTGAAATGCTTAGTCAATTTTGTTTGCGGCAGATTTGATGCTTTGCATCAATTTTACTTGTAGACGGGACAATGACATCGGGTTCGATATTCATGTGTGCATACCGGAAGCACATGTAAACAAAGAAAGTTGTTTACAAATATATGACGGGAAAAGTGCTCAAAATGGGTAAAAAAATCTGTATATTTATTATGCAAAATTATGTTACAAAAATATACTTACTGATTTCCTTGAAAATTTCAACTGGAACATGATGATTTTAATTATCAGCAATTCCGTTAGCTTAGTAGTACGTGAAACTGTTTTAAACTAGAAAAGAACACTAGAATCTATAGACAAAAGAAATTATCAATATTAAACAATATTCTTAAAATGTATCTCAAAGTTTGTTTAGTTTTGTGCATTAATCTATCCATATTTTTTCACGCCCAATCGTCTACACATAACTGCACCCTCCACTGAAAGTTTGATTATAATTTGTTTTAGGCTTAATACACATGAACAGGATTGCTTACCAAGGTATTTTTCAAATGGAAAAAAAAGAAAAGGGATTAATCTAACTTTGGGGGAAAGTACCCTGTTGGGAACGACTTTACTTTACCGGTCCCCAGAAAAAAAACATGCTAAAACGTAGTGTTGCCGAAGGCGACTTAAGTATATATGAGATCGCGTGAGCGATCGAAAAAAAATTTTAATACGAGGTTTTTTGGCCTTTTGACCCCAAAATCGAATTCTATGGTTAAAAGGTTAGTTTAAAACTTCGTTTTTAAAAGTAGTTTTTAACCTCGATCTCTGAAAGAAATTAATAAATATTGTTTATTCATGGAAAAAATCGACAAAGAATAATTCTAAATGGAGCATGTGGGGCCCATGCTTAGTGCTATTTCTTTCAGACTTAGCCATTCTTCCATATAAACAAACAAACGAAATGTCTTTAAAGTTGAATTTTATGATCTTGGAAAAATTACAGAAACGACTGAATTTCTTAACTTATGTAAAAGAACGAGTTACTACCTCTAATTCATCGACGGTATGCAAGGACTGAGACATTCAGACGAAATCTCCCAGGCAGATGCTAAACTAACCCTAATCAGTCGAATAATGTGCGAGGACTTACCCTAATCTCTCGGATGGATGCGAGACTAACCCTAATCAGTCGAATACTAGTGCAAGGACTAACCTTAATCTCTCAGGTGGGTGCAAGACTAAACCTAATCAGTCGAATAGTGTGCAGATTTAACCCATTTCAGTTGAGTGACGTAAATGTTACGTCATAGTCCAATGAGCGCGAGGATCTTGCGGATCTGGGGACCGGTAAAGTAAAGTCTACCCCCCTTGTTGGAGAAAGTTGGAAAATCAGCTGTGTGCCCAAGATAAATCCCTGAAGGAGCATGCTGAACTTGAAAATAATTTTTTCAGAATATAAATAATAAAAATTTATTTTCACTGGAGAAATTTTGTAACATTTGTGTCTGTTTCTATATGTCAGTTATATTTGTTTGGAAATGATGTGTGGTTCATGTATATCATCTTGCTAAATGTTGCTACAGTAAAACTCGTTTAGTACAAACACGGATATTGTGAATTCACAGATATAACAAAGTTATCTTGGATACCCAACTATATATATTTATGAATTCCTTATATAGATATAACGAATTACGGATATAGCAAAGTAATTTCAGAGGTCCCAGTGACTTCATTATAACCGAGTTTTATTGTGTAACTAAAAAATCTTTCTTTCAGTTGTTTATGAAAATAAAATTAACATTAGTACATGTATATAATATACAGCACAGGAAGCACTGAATCACAGAGATGAAATGGAAGAAGAAGAATTAGAAGATAGGGATGACAGTATGGATGATGATGATGTGTCTGAAGAAGATCATGAGGAAGACAAGCAGGGATCATTGGCTAAGGCAGCCATTACAGGAAGAAGTGTCACGTTACAGATGCTAATTTCAGAAAAAATCATAGATCCAGGCCCTGCTCTTCTTTCTTTGAAGTACCTGGTAATGAATTTGTGTTGGTTCGAAGACATTTAGCAACCAGATTATATATTTGCATATCTAAACTCTGAGATTGATATAAAATGCTTGCTAAATGTGAGGTAATAAATGTAATTATTATCTGAAAGTTATGATTAACATTTAACTCCACTTTTCAGGGACGTAGATTCATTGCTGACTTGCTTCCAGATGGCAGAATCCAGATGCCTGGAACCAAGGAGACCTTCACCTCACCAAGTGCCTGGGCAATTCACTGCAAGAAACAAGTTAATCCTCACAAAAAATCAGGATGTGGTTGGGCTTCGGTAAGTGTGCATAACATCAAGATGATATTAAATGGAGTATAAGATGTTATAATGGTTTATACTTGGCAATTGTGATTATCTAAATGGCACCTGATCCCACCTCTGATGTTTTGAAGATCCATGTGTGCGCCGCTCCTAATTTGTAATGTTTAATGGACTTTTGAGCTCAAATACTGTTTGTTATCTCCACATGTTTCATCTACAATGTACTAGTATCATGCAAGCCTAGCTCTTGGGTTTCCTTAAAAGATACTTGAAGAATTTCTTGGAGCTTAAATCGTTAAGCATTGTTCTGCTGTATATACGATGCTGTAAGTACAAGTTATCTCTCTTACATTATATGTAAGTTTACTCCATCAACTTTATACTTTTAGGTTTTATATAAGGAGAGAAAGCTTGACATTTGGAAGGCAGCTTGGTTTCGTAAGCATAGAACATCCAGTCCTGCCCGGAACAATATTGACTCCTCAAGTTCTCAGGTTCCAGTTCACTGAGTTTGTCTTTTTGAAATATCTTAAATATAAATTCTTCTGAAAATAATGAAAAAAATGATAAATGTATTAAGTATATCTAATCTAGTTATTGATGAAGTAATAACTGAACCATTAAAGTTTATTTAAATTAGATTACTTTTACTGGAAGTTTTATTCCCTTCAAAGTCACCAAGGTCTCCTTGGAGTTCTCGTGAGGACACAAATGACTCACGACCAGAACCTCAGACCAATGGGAAGCTCGCAGTGTCACGATTGGCTGATGAGAGACAGACAGAGGACTGTCAATCACTCCTGATGCCCCGCCCTGCTCACACCAGTACACCTAATCAAAATGGAAAAACTGAGTCCAAAAGGTAGTAGATAAAAACTCAAAACAGTTCTATTCTCTCTATGCCAGGGTTCAGGTGAGTTTTTCTGATCAAAAACTGTCTTACAATCAGGACACAGGAAGCCTTATTGATTTGCAAGTATCATAATGCAGTGTCATTCAATTTTGTATAAACCATGACCTTGGGGGCAAAGATAAGAACATAACAGAGGGTCAAAGTTTGAAGGCTATACATGTACGTGTAGTTCGAAGACTTGACTTCAAGTCTTAAGAGAGTTCAATAAAAATCTTTATTGTTATGGAATTTCATCAATCATTGGATATTACAAGAAGTTCAAATGTCTATGTACACATGTGTATACTCAAATGAGTGTGGTGCTTTTTGGCTATTTGTTATTAGCATACCTGTATTAAATTGAAAGAACTGTTAAAATTCAACTTTAAGATTTTGATCTTGAGATAGAAATCTGATTAAAAAAAAAATTGAAGATGTTACAGTTGTCATTCTGTAATGTTAATTCTTTTATTAATTATATGGCATAATCATGTTATTCGCTTCGCGAATAGAATAAGTTTGACGTTGTACACGTTAACGTCATTTCTTGTATAAGAGGGATTCTAATGATGTTATACAGTTTATATTATCATTTTCGAATATTTAGTAGTATTGACTACTATTTCAGGAAATAAAATAATACGAGAGAGAGAGAGAGGTCCAATGCTAGATTCTTTAGATAATCGTTCATATATATGAAGAATGGGTGACGAATGAAATACCATGGGTATATATATACAGAGAAAACATTCTAAAATTTTATAAAAGGGGAGATTTTCAAAGGAAAAGGGTTCGTTTTAAATATATATGAAGAACAGGTAGCGAATCAAATAACATGAGTATATATATACAGACGCAACATTCTAAAAGCCTCTGAAAGGGGAGATTTTCCCCGGAAAAGGGTTTCTTTGGGGGTCATTCATATAAAAATGGGGATTGGATTTTTTGGGGGGGTTCATTCTTAAAATGATCATTTTTCAAATGATCAAGGTAAATTATAGGGAGCGAATCAAATAACATGAGTATGTAACACACCCCTTTTAATACTTTTCACGTAAACTGAAGTATATAATACCACAAAAAGAGAAAATACATATAAAGAAGTAAGTTTTAAGATACGCTATTAATTCCGTATGAACAGCAGACAATTAATTACAGGTAGTAAAATAAATTTTGCTATTTATTCCGTTAAATTTTATATCTAAATTTATATCATTTACAGAATAAACACAATTTTATTTTCCCCTTTTAATGCTTTTCACGTAAACTGAAGTGTATAATACCACAAAGAGAAAATGCATATAAAGAAATTAGTTTTAAGATACGCTATTAATTCCATATGAACAGCAGACAATTAATTAATTACAGGTAGTAAAATAAATTTTGCTATTTATTCCGTTAAATTTTATATCTAAATTTATATCATTTACGGAATAAACACAATTTTATTTTCCCCTTTTAATGCTTTTCACATAAACTGAAGTATATAATACCACAAAGAGAAAATGCATATAAAGAAATTAGTTTTAAGATACGCTATTAATTCCGTATGAACGGAGACAATTAATTAATTGCAGCTAGTAAAATAAATGTTGCTATTTATTCCGTAAAATTTTATATCTAAATTCATATCATTTACTGAATAAACACAATTTTTTTTTATCTAGCTTATTGATGACTTAATGAGAAAATAAATAATTGAATAAAGTTTGTTATTTATTCCGTTAATTCTATTAGAAATTTATGGATACGGTTTAATTGACTCTCATGCAAGGAAAAACAGAACTTGCGGTGGTATATACTCATGTTATTTGATTCGCTCCCTATAATTTACCTTGATCATTTGAAAAATGATCATTTTAAGAATGAAACCCCCAAAAAATTCCAAGCCCCATTTTTTATCTGTATGTCCCCCAAAGAAACCCTTTTCCGGGGAAAATCTCCCCTTTCAGAGGCTTTTAAGAATGTTGCGTCTGTATATATATACTCATGTTATTTGATTCGCTACCTGCTCTTCGCATATATATGATCGATACAGTCTAGTTGACTCTCATGCTAGGAAAAAACAGAACTTGCGGCGGTATATACTCATGTTATTTGATTCGCTGCCTATAATTTGCCTTGATCATTTGAAAAAATGAACATTTTAAGAATGTACCCCCCAAAAAATTCCAAGCCCCATTTTTTATCTGAATGACCCCCAAAGAAACCCTTTTCCTATACAGGTTTTGACGTTAACGTCAAACTTATTCCAATCGCGAAGCGAATAACATGATTATGCCAATTATATAACTATTGATTTTGTTTTACATATAAGAATGAAAGAAAATTTGGGTATTAGGATTCAAGAAGAGGGTGAGTTCCTTAATTACATTTCACAGTTTTATTTTGTCAATGATTTCATGTATCATGCAAATGTGACATCTGTTATTAACTGTTTAGAAAAATAGAATATATTAAACTTCAGTTATTTCAAACTCAGTGGGACCCCCCCCCCCAATATTTGAAGATACATGTATTAGAGATATCGAAAATATTGAGCATGATTAAGGTCAAAATTAAAAAAAATGATAATCTGTAGTTTTTCCTTACAGTCTTTGAAATTTAAGAAATGTGCTTTTTCTCTGATTTACATGCATGATTTTTGACAAATTAAATCAAAATTGCTGTATGATTGTTGTACTTGAAAGTTTATTCTGTAATATTTAGCAAGAGAAGGAGAATTAATTTACTTAATATCATATGATACTATGTACTCTCAAATCCTCGTACTTAAAAATGGTAGAGTGGAATATTTTTGTGTGTATGATATTTGTTTTCAACCTATTTACAGATTTTTTTGATTTTTTTAGCATTAAATTTATCCCTCAAGGCACCAAAGTCACCTTCTAGAAAGGAATCGCATACTTTCTCTGAGTCTGAATCCTTCACTGAGAAAAACAACAACCACAGTGAGAGAAAATGTATTAGGCACGCATCTCTAAAATCCCGCAGCCAAAACATGTAAGATAATGTGCAAGACACGCATCTCTAAAATCCCGCAGCCAAAACATGTAAGATAATGTATCAGAAAGGCATCTCTAAAATCCCACAGCCAAAACATGTAAGATAGTTATTAGGCATGCATCTCTAAAATCCCACAGCCAAAACATGTAAGATAATTATCAGGCACACATCTCTAAAATCCCACAGCCAAAACGTAAGATAATTATCAGGCTCGCATCTCTAAAATCCCACAGCCAAAACATATAAGATAATTATCAGGCATGCATCTCTAAAATCCCGCAGCCAAAACATGTAAGATAGTTATTAGGCATGCATCTCTAAAATCCCACAGCCAAAACATGTAAGATAGTTATTAGGCATGCATCTCTAAAATCCCACAGCCAAAACATGTAAGATAATTATCAGGCATGCATCTCTAAAATCCCACAGCCAAAACATGTAAGATAATTATCAGGCACACATCTCTAAAATCCCACAGCCAAAACGTAAGATATATCAGGCTCGCATCTCAAAATCCCACAGCCAAAACATGTAAGATAATTATCAGGCATGCATTTATTTCCCGCAGCCAAAACATGTATATAACTTATTAGGCATGCATCTCTAAAATCCCACAGCCAAAACATGTAAGATAATTATCAGGCACACATCTCTAAAATCCCACAGCCAAAACGTAAGATAATTATCAGGCTCGCATCTCTAAAATCCCACAGCCAAAACATGTAAGATAATTATCAGGCACGCATCTCTAAAATCCCACAGCCAAAACATGTATGATAATTATTAGGCACGCATCTCTAAAATCCCACAGCCAAAACATGTAAGATAATGTATCAGAAAGGCATCTCTAAAATCCCCCAGCCAAAACATGTAAGATCATATACAAGACAAGCATCTCTAAAATCCCACAGCCAGAACATGTTAGATAATTATCAGGCACTCATCTCGAAAATCCCACAGCCAAAACATGTAAGATAAATATCAGGCACGCAACTCTGAAATCCTGCAGCCAAAACATGTAGGATAATTATTAGGCACACATCTCTAAAATCCCACAGCCAAAACATGTAAGATAATTTTCAGGCATGCATCTTTAAAATCCCGCTGCCAAAACATGTAAGATAGTTATTAGGCACGCATCTCTAAAATCCCACATCCAAAATGTAAGATAATTATCAGGCATGCATTTCTAAAATCCCCCAGCCAAAACATGTAAGATAATGTACAAGACACGCATCTCAAAAATCCCACAGCCAAAACATGTAAGATAATGTATCAGAAAGGCATCTCTAAAATCCCACAGCCAAAACATGTAAGATTATGTATCAGAAAGGCATCTCTAAAATCCCCCAGCCAAAACATGTAAGATCATGTACAAGACAAGCATCTCTAAAATCCCACAGCCAAAACATGTTAGATAATTATCAGGCACTCATCTCGAAAATCCCACAGCCAAAACATTTAAGATAATTATCAGGCAAGCATCTCTAAAATTCCACAGTCAAAACATGTAAGATAACGTACAAGACATGCATCTCTGAAATCCTGCAACCCAGATATGTAAGATGAAGTACAAGACACACATCTCTAAAATCCCGCAGCCAAAACATGTAGAAAGTTTAGTAGGCACACATCTCTAAAATCTGCAGCCAAAACATGTAAGATTAAGATTAAGGGACATATCTCTAAAATCCAGAAGCCAAAATATGTAAGAAAGAGAATAAGGCATGCATCTTTCAATCCCTTAGTCAAAATAGATAAGAAAATTTGTAAGCTTTAATTAGTATGTGTCTCAAAGATTCTGCACCCAAATTATAAAAGAAAATGTACTAGACACACATCTATCAAAATCTGCAACCAAAACATAAAAAAAAATGAATTAGAAAAAAAATGTTAAAGTTAATCACAATGTTTAAAAAATTGTAAGTTGGGCGTACTTAGTTGGTCAAGAGAGGACAAACAATTTTTGAACAATGGCCTTATTGCGGAAGCATTTTATTTCATGGGGACTAATTATTGAGAACTATTATAAATTCATGGAGATGTGCTGAATTTTTTTTTTATTTGAGAAGCCCTTGTCATGAAAAACAAGTACATGTTTCATTGAGATTAAAATTTTGACAAGAATTGAACAAATCTGACATTTATATTGATTCCGAGATAATACTCTATGTATACTTGTTAAACAAGCTTCATATTGTAGTGGCTTTGGTGTGGACAAGAATGTTCCAATTCATGAATACCGCTAAGAAATCATTAATATTAAATACAATATATGACATGTTGGTGTGTAGCACTAATTCATGATTATGCCAACAAGTGATTGCACTAAATTTAAAACACTCAAATTTATGTGTGCATGCACATTGTGTTTTCTATACATTGTACGTAAAGAAATTTCTTTATGGAATACTTACAGAAACTGTATTGTTTTTTGTCAGTGACCCCCACACCCTTGTGGAATGTGAGTCTTTTAAGGAATTGGACAAAATTCAACCATTTACAGTATCCATTGCCAGTAATGCGCTTCTACTCATGGTAAGTTATCTTCATATATTTTAATCATCTTGTTGATATTTAATATCTTTTACAATTTTTAGCTTAATTGCAATTTTAAAAATGTTTATTTAACTTATCACTTTATAAGTCAATTCCTAGATTCAAAAAACTTTAGGCCAACGTTCTTTTATTTACCGTTTTACGGGAGCGCCGACTCTAATTTGGGCTAAAATGAAATAAAAATAAAAGTCTCTTCTTCAAGTTTTATTTTTGTTTCTCCCGCCGATAGCTTATTTATAGTCACTGAAAAAATGAAAGAAACGTCAACAAATTTTTTACAAGCCTTTCAAAACGTCAATTGTCATTGGCTACGGTAAATATATCCATCCAATCACAGTTGACAAAACTAATGAGCATGAATGTGAAGCGTGGATAGTCACTGAACTGCATAACAGTTAGCGGCAAAATGTCAGAGTCGTAGTGTTTAATATATTTTTAAATCGACTCAGTCATTTTAAAAAGTGACATGTCATTTATTAGAAAAAAGTATTAATTTCAGATAAACTTTTAATGAAAGATTGAATAAAATAGACGAAACAGTAATCAAAGTGATCAAATGTTATGCGGAGGGCCACGACTGGAAAGTTAGGTTCTGCCACTGCCCCTTGTTTTTAGAGGTTTTAAGTATGTATTATCGTTGACAATTGTTTCAAAGCATTGAAATACGACTTGAAGATTGTTCTGAAACTTATTTTTAAGACAGTCATGTTTTATTTTACATGAAACGACTGAACATACACTGCAGAAAGTGGCGTGACTGAAGAAATTCGAGTCACAACTTTCACTCCTTAATATCATATTAATCAAACATATTACGATTCAAAATGAAATTTCGCTTGTTATGTAACAAATTACTGAGTAATAACAACTTTCTTTACCAAAAAAGAAAAAAAAAAAATTCCAGTTAGGGAAAAACAAAGCTGCAGATGATACTTCCATACAAATATGACCTTTTTTTTTATTCAAAAGTTGTGGATATTTGAATACGTTTTCAAGAGAAATATATAATATATTTTATCTACCTATGTGTATATTAATTTGAATTGCATTGAAAAAGATACACAGATTTTTTTAATTAGTCTAACTTGTGAAATAGTTTAACTGATCCATTAAAAGCCTTACTATATTCTTGCCATATGATAGCTACTCATAAATACTCAAATCTTATACATGTAGTTTATTGAATGCTAAAAAAAGTATGATATAATTGTTTTGCATGCTTTATTTTTTTCAAATAACACCCTTTTCTGCCAAAATAAGGTGAAAAAACATTTCCATTCTTAATTTAAAAAATAAAAAAGATTGTTACAATTTTTTGTTTTATTTTTATTTTTCTGACCGACTGCTTGAATTTGAAGATTTTATTTTTATTTCGACCCCCCCCCCCCCGACTCAATTTTTTGAAAAAAATTCCGGTAAAACAATAAATACAAAAATGTTGGCCTTATGTACATTGTCTTTTCATCTGACAAAGCAAATAGGAAAATTTTTTTTTTTATTTAGCACTCTTATCATTTGTTACTGTAGGACTTTCACTGTCACCTGACTTCCAGTGAAGTGGTGGGGTACCTCGGAGGAAAATGGAACCAGAACACACAACGTAAGCATAAAACAAAATACCTGTACAGTATAATACATGTATATAAGAATCTGCTACAGGCTTCAGAATATTTTGCTAAATATGCCAAGACCCTGTCCAGCTCATAACTTGAAAGAAAATTATTTGGCTTAGAATTATCAACTTGGTCAATCCATTTGTCACATCCTACATTAAGGCATCTCTTCCTTAAAGCTTATCACAAATAACATGATAATAAATGTATCAAGCATATACTCAAGAGAAACATTCGATCTCATTACATTTTCATGTCTTTTCATAGATTTAACCATTGTGAATGCATTTCCGTGTAAATGCAGACTTGCAGACAACAAAAACGCAGCCATTGTAGAAGAAGAGGTGAGCTTCTTTTTAAATGTTTATTGTTACTTATTTTATAACCTTATAGCACTTCTGATGTCAAAAGACCCCTATGATAAGAGATTTTGAGTTTATTAACCCTCTGATTGTACAGATCCGCCAATCTATGAATGAGCTGGGTCTGATTTTGGTGGGGTGGTACCACAGTCATCCTTTCTCGGAAGCTCAGCCCTCAGTGAAGGACATTGACAGTCAGATGTCCTATCAGCTCTGTATGAAAGGATCAGGATCTAATTACTTCCCTTGTGTAGGAGTCATCATAGGTAACCACACTCTATATTCAGTGTCTGATGAATCATACTCGAAAAAAAAAAATACACAGTACATGCATTGGGGGGGGGGATGTTATAAAAATCAGAATAAATATTAATTCCTCGTATTTTTAGAATGTTTTTTTTTCTTTGACACTTTATTTGAGAAATTATATAATTTTACAAGTTTTGTATCTGCTATGCAGGTAATGTGATTTGTTTGGCATGATAACAAAGTAGTTTATTTTATTATTTTCAGCTCCATATAACAGACAGAGAACAAAGAAGGAATCTGATTGCAGAATGTACATGGTCATGCCACCTCTTGATGTAAGCATTTAAATAAAAGAAAATGACTACTAACTGTTGGTATTTAAATTGAATTCTCTTGATTTAAATGAAGATTTCTTTATGTAGGAGCAGCCCTCAGATTATGGTATACCGATGATTGTCAAATTCTCCCTGCAGAAGAATCTCTCTGTCACGGAGGAACTTCTTAGTGAAATGGTAATTTTTTGTGTTTTATTAGTAAATATTTGTAAACTAAATGTTCAGTGAAGAATTATGGTTCATTAAATTTAGTTCATACATTCACATTTTCGAGGGGTGATCAAAAAGTTCGCGAACTATCTCTAAATTTACAAAACCACAGTTCAGATCAGAATGAAATTTTGCACACATAGAGTCATATACATGGTCCATAAATAGCATTTGTAATGAAACGTTTTGCCCCATGTTTGTGACGTCACAATATGAAAATAACATCAATATGTAGGTCACTTGGGACAAAAAATGGTTGACTCAATTGAATTCGAAAACCAAACAGCTGTAAATTAAAGATAAACATACAGTATATCTTGGAAATTCCTTTGCAGAATCTTGTAATAATTTGTACGAGGTTTATGAAGACAAAAGACTTTCCAGAAGTTTAGTTGTTAATTGGATTGATTGTTTAAGTGCAGCAAGGGAGATGTTAAAAAATAATGATGTTTGTTCTTTCGCCCAGTGAAACCAAGCTGGGGAAGAGATGTGTCCTTTGTTTAGCAATTTGATATGAAAGATCGCCAACTTATAATTTGGAAAATAGTTGGATATCTTTACAATAACATTATAATAAAATCCCTAAAATATCATTTACTTCAGACTTTAAACATATCAGATATGTAAAAAAAAAAAGGCACCCGTAATTTATCCACATAGAAAAAAACAACGCTCCGAAGACAGAGGACTTGGGTTTTGATGGTAACCATGCTCATTCTGGAAAAGATATCATTATCCATCCATACTATTGCCAAGATTTGGCTATTTCTGACAAATGGACGGTTTTTAGCTCACATTGACAAAGTCGAGATGAGCTTATGCTATACCCCCGGCGTCAGCGTCCCGGTTAAAGTTTCAGGAGCAGGTCCATTCCCAAGTAACTATAAGCCTACCTGGACCAAACTTGCATGGATGATGCATCTAGGGATGGACACTACCAGACTTGCTTCAGATGCTGGATGTGACCTACATTTTCCAGTTGAGTGACCAGGTTAAAGTTTTTGGAACAGGTCCATTCCCAAGTAACTATAAGCCCTACCTGGACCAAACTTGCATGGATGATGCATCAAGGGATGGACACTTTTTGCAGATGAGTGACCAGGTTAAAGTTTTAGGAGCAGGTCCATTCCCAAGTAACTATAAGCCCTACCTGGACCAAACTTGCATGGATGATGCATCTAGACCTACATTAACCACATTAACCAGATTATATTAGTGACTAGGTTATTCCCAAGTAACTATAAGCCCTACCCTGACCAAACTTGCATGGATGATGCATTTAAGGATGGACAATGGAAACTTGCTTCGGATGTTGGATCTGACCCGCATTTTCCAAACGAGTGATGAGGTTAATTTTTTTGGAACAGGTCAACCCCCAATGAATTTTAAGACCTATTTAAACAGCACTTGCTTGAATATTGTTGTCAGAATAAATACTAACTGTTAAGAAAAATGATGTGAAATTTGTATTACCTAAATTGATAACATTCATCGAGGTGAGCTTTGTAATCTTTGATTACCTATGTTATTTGTAAAAAATAACTTGCATGGTAGGAAATACAAGAGTCTGAAAAATCTTTAAGCTTCTGTGACAGAACGCTTTGGAGCATGTTCCATGACTGCCTATATCATGTGATACGCACATGGGCAGAACGGTTGTAGATGTGCATTAAAATCGGAGAGGACTACTTTGAAAATTTTGAACACTGAAACCCTATATTATTTCATTTTTGGAAGTTATTCAATTAGTTTGCAAACTTTTTGATCACCCCTCTTACTGTTTCCTCTACTGGAGATAAAATCATTTGAACAATGCTATATTTTCCTTACAGAAAACAGTGACAGATTTTTATAGAGGTGCCCCTGATTGGCTGAAGTTCAGACAATGCTGGCAGCCAACCATAACGTACTTAGACAAATTGAAGGTAAGTTTCAGTACCAAAGAATGTACAGCATGTAGGTGTAAATGTGTTAGTACATACTGGCTGACATCAATGTTAATCTTATTACCAAAGTAGTACCAAAATAGTACATGTATGATCATAATGACATACTGCCCGAATTCAAAGTTAATCACATTATCAAAGTATTACGATTATTAACACATATTGCCTGAATTCAGTAAGTATCTTGCCTGAGGTCAAGGTCAAGCTCCAAATCTGATTTCAAGATAGTCATGTTGCTAAGGACATAAATGTATTGCATATACCTATATAAAATATGTTTTAATTAAGGATGTCTCATTGAATGTGTACTGGTAAAATGCTGATTACAACATAATTGGTTGCACTGAAGGCAATTCTATGCATTAACACATACTATACAATTTAAAGGTCAATCCAATGAAACTCTTACATGTACTTGGATACTTACATGTATTAATAATTTGTTAATAACACTAAGACACAATTGATAAACTAGGCAAAGAAAGATGTAAATGATATAAAACTAATTAACACTCATTTTTCTTAAGTACATGAGTAATAATCTATCCCATTTTATGAGAATGTTTTTCTGCCCTAAATCGTGAATACATGTATCATTCATTCATCAATTTTTAAAAAGTTGAATCAACAATTTGTTCCTTTTAAAACATTTTATAAACAACATAGATATTGTGGTTTAGATTTCAAAGAAGCTGCGTTTTTTTCTAGGGTTCTCTTGCCACAAAACTGCCCGAAGATCAGATGGAGAATGGAACTTTCCTGGAATTTGTTCAGCATTTGATTCTGTCAAAATGAATCTTCTGAACTTTCAGAACTTAAAAAAATTAGCTTTTTAAAACCTATCAAAGTTTAAAGTTCATGTGTTTTGTTAAACAGTTAGCAGGAGTACAGTGTACCTGATCCAAGCATCAAAATTTGAATCCAATGAACAAACATATAGCAGCTAAGTAAATTGTGCCTAATGTGTTAGTATGTAGGTTTACTGGTGCTGTTTGATTAACTGTATGGAATATTTTTCTCTGTGTGTTCCAGTTTTTGTCTGTTAATGATGATTCAACATGTCTTCCCAATATTATGAGAACATTGTGTACAGATTAATTTGATGAATCGTGTATGCTTTATAGATGAGAGTGTTGTGTAAACATAATACTGGATTTATGCACTGTAATAAGAATATTAGAGTACTTTGTTTAAAGGTTCAATAGTTTTAAAATATGTATATTGCAACATATATCTTAAATGTTTCTTTCTATCATTTAAAGGTATATAAAGATATAATATGCATAAAACAATACATAAAAAAAAACATGTATAATGTATATGAATTTCTATTATTTAAAGGTTGTATATAAAGATATAATATGCATAAAACAGGACTGAAAATATCAGTATTTTCAAAATTTGATGAAAAATTTCTTCAATTTTCATTGAAGCAAAACAGGGACCTATGGCCGACCAAAGTTTTACATAGAAATATAAAGGAAAATTCTTTAAAAATCTTCTTCTGAAGAATAGGAAAGCAAGAATATAGAAAGCTTTTTTATTTAACCATGGGGTTTTCCTGACAGCTTTATGTCATGATGCAACTGATTAAAACAAACATTTAGAAGCATTATAAATAATTCATATCAAGGCAGCAGCTTTCTGATTTGTATTGATTAATAGGATTATACATGTAACACTATGCACAAGGTATATCAGGTGACCTACGATTTTTATGGAATGTTATATTACTGTCCTATATAAATATGCACCCACCATTGTAACAAGATATGAAACCTTTTAAGCAGTAGATGAATTTATCAAATTCACTTAAATGAGAATATCCACTTTGGGAAAATACAGAATATGATATTAACTGAAAGCTTTGTTTTTTTGATTTTATATTGTCACAACCAATATGCATTATAAAGCATTGTTCTTTGTAATTTCATTATTAGTTTTTTTTTCCTCTACCATACATTTACAGTAGTCAAGGGCATATAAGCCTATGTTTTTATGATGATTTTGCTGTATTCCATTTTCATGGAATGTTATATTACTTAAGTAAATTTTGGTAACTAATTTTGACATTGACAAAAGTTAAGATTTCAGGAAAAACTGATTATATTATTTATTGATTGTGTATTTTCTATAGCTCTTGTTAAAAATAATGTTAAACTCTACATTTTAAAAGAAGTATGTGTATTTATGTATATGCAATAAACTATGCAATATTTCCTTTCGAGTTATCTTAACACACATAAGGCTCAAAAAAAAAGAATATGAATATATAGAAATATATAGAAAAAATGTCAATAGGGCCCTGGTTAGTCATTACATGTAGTAGACTAATATCCTTAAGAAGTGTGAATTCTTTGTTCAGGATCACAATAGAAGACCAATAATTTACAAGGTACATGTATATAGAGGAACAGAATTTTACCAAGAACAGCAACAGTAAATACATTTTCACTATGTGATTAATAGAAATCTACTGGAATACCAGAGTCCCTGACCAAGGAGGTTATAAATTTATAATTTTAGAAAAAAAGGGCTATTACTCATAATCAAGTTTGTCTTCACATACCGAAAAAGCAGAGAGTATTTTAGAAGAATAAATATTATGGATTCATTATAATGAACTCGGTTATTATAAATAATGAAATACTTTCTCCATATTTTATTTAGCAAGAAAGCTTTTGCAGACAATAAGCTTTTGAATAATTATCTCATGGTGAAAATTCTTTTAACAGCAGTGAATGAGAATCTTTTTTACAACAATATATTATATATTCAAGAAGAGGTGTAAATCAGATGTGAATAAAAACTTGAAGGAACTTTAAAAAAAAATTGAAGTCACAAAATTTTTCTTAACTGAAAAGCATCAAAGTGCTGCACTTTTCATTGCTTTTCTCAAAAAAATTGAAATTGAAAATTTACTGACCGTGTCAATGGTCACTTGCAAAAATAATTTTTAAAAATCCGACTCGATATATCCCGGAAAACTTGAAATAAAATATACAATAGTTTCTGATACATCTGCTTCATATTTGGATATTTGACTAGAACATACGTTAATCCTAATTACGGTAATCTAACTAAAAAACGTTATGACTTCAATTTTTTTTTAATGTCATCATCCCTTACCCATGTATCACCTGCATATGAAGGGTAAGCTTTTGACAAACAGGTTGATAAGACAAGGATTTCTACCGTTTCGTATATCGACAGGGGATGCTTACTCCTCTACCTAATCCCACCTCTGATGATTTAGAGGCCCAGGTTTGCTTGCTCCGAATTTACATTGTTTTCATGGACGTTTGAGTTTGAGTGCTTTTCTTTTATCTACATGTTTCATTTAGCAGACAAGCAAGCTTTTCAATATTCATCTTAAAGTTTTATGCTTCATATTATAATATTTTATTACCATTTTGTAGATCCGTTACAGGGTTGCATTAAAGTCGAGTGAGCAATATAAGGTCCTTGAGCTCTTTTAAAATAATTTATGCTAAGGGAATGAAAGTCAACATTGAGATATCTACAGGAAAACATTTGTTATATTTCTCTTTAAGACTGTAATTCGACTGATCAGACCAGGATTTAATAGTCCGTCTTGCGAAATGGAAAATAATCTTCTCCAGAACAGCAGAACTAAAACAGTCTAAATCATTGCGAAGCATAGAACTGCATGTTGTGTGGATTGGATTTGGTTAAGTCATGGTCCCTTGGGCCACCAAATGCCATCAAAATTTTCTTGAAATCTAGCTGAAAACATTTAAATATCTGAAAATAAATTAAAGCAGGACAAAAGTTACCCGGCTGAGCATTATGGTTCATCGGCCTCTTGTTTTCTTTAGTCAAAGGACATTGACACAATAATTTGCAAGTCATCATACATGCAGCTTCGATCTGGGCATAGGTATCTAATTCCACGATTTGTTAACATGTACAGATTTAATAATAGAGAAATGATGTGCGAACATTTATCATTTCCAACGCACAGCTAAAAGGTTTGTATTATAAAAGCAAATCTGATTTTATTTTGACATATTTATATTTTACGTCGATGTACATTGTAATATACAATGTAGCAAAATGTAATTAAAATACTTACTGGATTGTTACATTTTGCATTGCTTTATCAAGCCATCTTTAAAAGAATTTTTGCTTGCCCTCTCCCGACTCAGGGTAAAATTATTGGGTCGATAGATAGGTAGGTGGGAAAATCTTTTTCCCAGAACATTTCAAAATATTGTTATCCGTTTCTGGATAAGAGGATAAAAAGGGTGAAAAAATTTCGTGTTCTGCAATTAAAAAAAAAGTTTTGAGTTTGGCCACTTTTAGTCAGTCGGTCTGGAGACATCCTCACAGTGTCGAGGGTTTGTGATTTCTCGAACTCAACACTTTGTGTGGTGTTCGAGAAATCACAAATCCTTGACATTGTGAGGATGGTCTGGAGAGGGCAAACAATTTTTTTTTAAAGATGGCCTTGCCCTTTACGTAGAGGTAAAAACCAAATGTAATAAAACATTCTATAGATTTAATGCTAAAAATTAGATATTATAAGAGGCATTTCCATTTATGCCATTTTTGTCCAAATTAAAGTACAATATCCGCCAATCTAAGATTATAACTAGATCTCATCTAGTCAAGATATTGTTTTGAATTTATTGTCACACCAATTCCTATCTCGTCTAGTCTAGATAAGTTAAACATTTTGTTTCCATTTTGTTGTATGTGGGAATAGGTGGAATTTTGTGTAAACAAATAATTAACTATGTTCTTAAATTTAGGTATTAAGTCGCTTTTTCTTGTAAGATCTTTCTATTATTTCAAAAATCCGAAATAAATCATATTTTCTCATAGATGTATTCAATATTTTCTGTCTTAAAATTTACAAAATACAGGTAAATCGAAACATCTATTGTTATTTGCAAGTGGGAATAGGTGGAATTGAGATTTTTAAAAAGTGGGAATAGCTAGAAGACACCTGGACAAGACACTGCTCCTTTCCTTCAAAGTATGATTTGACTGACATTGTTTAGAATCGTCAAATTGAATCCTCTTCTCGACATATATAACATAATGATGATAAAGTGAACACAAAATCAACTGCCAGTTACATGTAAACATGTATTTCCAATTGTTTGGGGAATGCAGAAGTAAGCGGTAATAATAATTTGACGGCTTTAATTGATACTGTAAACCTTAGATATATATCGACAGAGTGACAATGACATGGGAAAAAAGTATCGACTGCGTCTTTGTGGAGATGAATTATTCTGTGCGATTTTATCAAGCCTGACCGAATTCTAACGCAACTTTCGTGATTTTCGTGATTCTATGCTTTTGTCATCTTCCTCTACCGTGACAGAATTGTGCCAACTCGAAACACTCTTAAATTGATAAATTTTCTGCAGTCAAAGAATTAAGTAAGCATTCAATTTAAAGGATCTTTTGTCGATAAATCTTTAGACAATTTTTGTTTACATTACTTTTATCTTTCAATTTCAGTTCATTTTCAACATTAATCTTGGGGAAAAAACACAGAAAACACGTTTTTCTTACATTACAATTTACAAAAAAAAAAACCTTTCTAAAACAAGATGGGCTTGTGAAACACTGATGCCCCTGTATGGCAGCTTATGGCGAGGGTTGTCAAACTCCAGTTTAAGATCAAAACGTCAAAATTGTAATAAGGATTAATCTTCGAAAATATGAGTGAAATATGAAAGCCATAGCCCTACCCACTCAAAAGTCATGGACAAGGTTAACGTGTTTGCGAACAAACAAACAGCTAGACGGCCGGACAGGGTAAAAAATAAAAATCGAATCTTCGATTCCCGGGGCATAAAAAACCGTACACATTGTCAATATATATATAAATATATATTTATTCAATATCTCTGCTTTTGTTATACATGTATTTCATAACAGTACATGTATTTCATTAACGTTTGCATTACCCCTCGAAAATACGCTTGGTTTTCCTGTTTTTATTGTCAAAGAGCGATTAAAGATTTTTTTTTCTGGATTTACAGATATTTATGGCACTCCAAATTCACAAAAATGAGCTTATCATAGTTTCACAGTTCATAAATTAGGTTTATCGACTGTAAACTATAGTTTACGGTCCGTAAACTAAGTTAACGATGATTAGTTTACGCGATATTAATCTATATTTTACAAGCGTTAACAATAATTAGCACTGAAAACAC